CAGGAGACATAAGAGACGTGGGTTCAATCGCTGGATCGGAAAGATCCCCTGGAGGAGGGCATGGTAACCCACTCTAGTGTTCTTTCCTGGAGAATCCCATGGACAGAGGAGCCAAGAGGGCTGTGGTCCATAGGGTCTCAAAGAATCAGACACGACTGAAGAGGCATAGCACGCATGCAAGGCTCAGTACTAAATCACCTATCATCACACAGTGAGAAAATTATTCTTTTCCATTTGTCCTTCAGTGTTTCTGATTACTTCATGGAGAAAGCTTCAGTTTGATGCCAGTATGTCTTTAACACCTCTTTAACAGTTGCTTTCTTTTTTTAATAATGAGGCAGGCAATAGGATTTAGCTTGACTATGATAGCATCATTTTATTTTCACTGTGCTTATTTAAATAATTATCTTGTACATATGGCAACAGATACCCATTTTCTACTTAAACCAGTGACAGAAACCTCTTTAAAATTAATTAAGTGTAAAAGTGAGTGTATTTAAAGAAAACATATACTAAATGGGAAGAAGTGTTTGCTTTAATACTTCCTTCCATGTCAAGGAATTCCACTGTTTTAGCATTTCTGACTTCTTTCCACAGCTTCATCATTAAAGAACTTTATTCATACTGCATGCGGTGGAATGGGGAAAGTTGCTGCACCTCACTGTAAATTTGGGAGGAATGAAATGAACATCCTCAAGTCAGCATCCCCCTTCTTCCTCTTGGAATTGAGATACACAGAGGATAGTTACTCACAGATAATTGCTTATAAATTCCCAGTCCAATTGGTAGAATCCTAGCAGCAAGTTATTTGTTTAGTATATATTTATTGTGTGCCCTGTGGTAGTTGGGTTCTGGGTCTATCTTTTCTTCTTTTTCTGCACAGTAAGCAACCTCTCCATTCAGAATGTTCTTGACCAGCCTCTGGCCAAGCTGTCCCAGTACTTTTGATTCTCAGCCTCTGAATCCCTTAAAGGCAGAAGTCAGGGGGGCATTGATGAGTTTGTGGTCCTTTTAGAAGAAAGTGTCAACTATTCATCACCATGAATCATGAGACAAAAACATGTAATGGTCGTTAAAGCATCTGGTCAATCTCCTGGTGGCCTAATCATAATCCATCCATGTGGGTCAAATATGAAGGTTTTAGTGATTACCCTGCTAATGACGTAGACTTTTGGCAAAAGTCCTCGGGTAAGAGGGCACTGGAAAATGTACATTTTCATTCCAATCCCAAAGAAGGGTAATGCCAAAGAATGTTCAAAATACTGCACAACTGCACTCATTTCACATGCTAGCAAAGTAACGCTCAAAATCCTCAAATCTAGGTTTCAACAGTATGTGAGCCAAAAACTTCTAGACGTACAAGATGGATTTAGAAAGGGCAGAGGAACCAGAGATCAAATTGTCAACATCTGTTGGATCATAGAAAAAACAAGAGATTTCCAGAAAAGCATCTACTTCTGCTTNTGAGATGGTTGGATGGCATCACCAACTCAGTGGACATGAGTTGAGCAAGCTCTGGGAGATGGTGAAGGACAGGGAAGCCTGACGTGCTGCAGTCCATGGGGCTGCAAAGAGTCAGACACGACCGAGGAGCTGAACAACAAAGAGGGCACTGCCCTTTCCTTGGAAAGGAGGAACGTGTATGTCTAGTCCCCTGCATTTGCTTTTGTCAGTTCTCCACCACTCAACTAAAGTGGTGTCCCCACTCCTTGTATATCACTCTATTTCTTTCTTTTATCACCATGGTTCTTATCTCCACCTCTTTGTTGGCTTGATTAGGGTCTGACTCCCTCTACTAGACGGTAATCTCAAGAACAGGAGCCATTTCTGTGCAGTTTGTGGCTATATCTCAAGTGTCTACAACACACTGAATAAATGAGTAAATAAATGAACAAACAGTCCCATATTCCAATTGTTAGAAAAAGAAAAATAGAATGTGTACTTTCTAGATGTAATTAGTAGTCAATTTGTAGTATCTTTGCTTAACCCTGGAACTGAGATATGCATCAATTGTTCCTGCTGTGTGTGGCTCTAAATGTTCTGCTACTCTTTTATCTACTGCATTTCTATTCATTGGTTCATTAATGCTTGGCCTACAGCTGGAAAGTGTCTGCAGCGACTCATAAAGGCAACAGTCAACAGGTAAAAGATAAGACCGTGTAAGTAAAGGAGTAGGACCCAAGGGAAACCTTATCAGGAAATCATTGTTAAGGTGTAACTTTCAATTACAATCAATGCAAGATTTGTCCCCCAAGCTTCCTTTTTCTGTCCTGTGCTGGGAAATGTGACTTGAACATTGAAAACTTGCTTGAAAGAATTATTCAGAGTCCCAGGGCAATTTCTGGTAAAACTGTCCAAATTTTTCTGAAATTTATACTCGTCCAAGTAACTGCTCATAAAGGTACCATTTTTGAGGCAAAATTAAATTATTTCACGCTAATTCTTCCATTTCTCATGCTTCCTCATGACAACCCAGAAGTAGAGGAGACAGAGGTAGCATTTTACCTACCAACTGGACAACTTTTTTTTAATGATATATATAGGAGCATGAGTTGGCACCTTCTGGTCTTTTGGTGTTCCTAAATATAAAGAGGTCCAAACTGACACTTTCTGAAAAATACTTTTAAAAACAAAATCAGCAAAGTGGACTAGAATTTGCTTACAAATGGGAAAACTCCTCAGGAGTTCCTGGTTTGTGTAAAGATGTCATTGAGTGTATTGGCAGTGAACTGGAGACTCATATCACTCAAGGGGCTGATGACTAGCCAGAAATTGCTCCTGGATGCTGAATATTCTTGCTTTGAAGTCAAATTCATTTTGAATTTCTAACCCGAATCAGTTTTACCTGGGACAGGCAGAAGAGTGTAAAGCTGCTGTCCTGAAATATAAGCACAAACTTAATCTCAACTATGAAATACTCATAACCACTGTGGCTGTGGCTGGTGTCATTCTGAAAATTAAAAAGTCAGGAAAAAAATTAAATTAATCCAGAAATCCATCACAGAAGACACTGAAAATGAAAATAAAATGCTCAAAACACTATACCCCTTAAATCACATGCACACACACAGACTTACAGAAAAATACACTTTAGTTGTTGCCCATTCTATGATAAATCCCAACTTCCTACCCCTTCATGCCCATAATTCATCTGAACTAGAATAAACTCAGGGTTTTCTTCAGTTTGTAATGTCAATAATTCACATTTATTCACTCTGGACATTTAATGGTACGGCTTCTCATACATTATCCTCCATTTGAACCAGCTCATGGAGAAGGCAGACATTCTATTCCATCGTAAAGCTGAAACTCGAAGAGCTTGAGTGATTTGCCAAAGATCATATGATAAGTAACTGGCAGAGCCTTTATTTTTAGAAGGAAACAGCAACCCACTCCAGTATTCTTGACTGCAGAATCCCATGGTCAGAGGAGCCTACAGTCCTCTGGGGTCGCAAGAGTCGTACACGACTTAGCAACTAAACCACCACCACCAGAGCCTGTATTAAGATGCCAAACTTCTGATTCTTTAACTCTATCCTTTCCTGCAAGTTTCACAGCTTCTTGGGTATCCTAGAAGATCTGATATACCCCGCATAAGCCCAAATGAAGGAGATATCTCAATACTTAAGACCTGAATGCTGGTCCAAGGCAGTAATAAACTTAAGCTGGGTAGACTTTCCCAGACTGTCCTGGCACTGATCAGTCATTTTTCTGGGGAGAACTCAGGTCCTCTAGCTAGAACCCACAATCTAAAGGTACATTTGACAGCTCCATGCTACAAAAGAAGTGTCTACAGCCAACATTCTTCTCAATCAGAAGCCCAGTGAATATGTTTCCAAGGATGGGGAGTTATATCTCATTAGCTCCCATATATTTTGAATACCTGGACCAAAGATGCAAGATTATGTAGGTACTGTCCATCTAAACCAGTCTTTTCAATGCATAATAAATAATTCATTCTCTGATGAGGCCAAACATGCTTCGGTTTGTACTACATAGTCCTCATCCTTTTGAGACATAACATAGTTCTCAACAAAACCAATGAAAGAATATAAGCCCAGTAAATTGCTTTTCTCCTTTCATGTATTATCTGTCAAGCCTGAATGCACAGATACCCCCTTCTAAGTTTACAAAAGATACTTCCATTCTACTGGTGCAAATCACAATCTCCTTGTTTCTGAAATTTATTTTAACAGAGACAGAGGAAGGATTCCCATTTATTGAGTTCTAAATATGTTAGGCAATTTTAAGAATATTACCATTTTAAATTCTCATAATAGTTCTTAAGGGGTCATTTCACGATGAGAGAAGAAAGGCTAACAGAAGTTAGATACTCCCAAGGGTATCTATTTTTGGTATGGACCAAAATTCCTCCTCAATCTTCAAATCTCAAAGCCTCAATCTTTTCTACTCATAAGATGTTGAGAACCCAAAGATAAATTGATTTATTGGAGAAAGAGGAAGGTCTTGTCTTTCTTTTAGGAGGGGAGGGGAAATCAATCTCTCCCATCCTTTCCTTTCAGTAATGCTGAGGGAAGTGGAAGACATTTAAGAGCAGCAAGGGCTCGGTGAAGAAGGGGGAAGCTTCCAGAGGGCAGGAACCAGGTCTGGGTAGCCAGCTTTGTCCAATGTCAAGTCCAGCAGAGGTGGAGCTTCTCGCAGAAGCTGTGCATTTGCAACACATCAACACTGCAGAGTCCTGCCTGGTCCTCTCCCAGGGCGGAGAGCAGCCCGCATCTCTTCCCCTCAGCCTCACATAGCAGGAGGTACTGGAAGCAACACCTGGAGGCTTAATAGGCCAGGCAGGAGTTGAGAGCGGCAGGTAGCAGTGTGTGTGTGTGTGTATGTGTGTGTGTGTGTACTGGGGGCTGGGGGTGGGGGCGTCTGGTGAGAGGCTTCTGCTCAGTAATGTAAGGGGTTGGGCAGCCCACGTGACTCCAGGAAGGCGGAGACAGGCTAGCTGGAGGGAGGACTGACAGGCCGCGGGGAGGGGTGCAGGATAGAGGGGCAATCTGAATAATTGAGGAGCTGTTCGGCAGCGGCGGCTGCCTCCTGCTTTCCTTTGCCGCCGCCACCCCGCATCACCGTAGAAGAGACAAACCCGGCGCTGTAAGTGAGGACCGCCAGCCATCCGCCTGGGAGCCAGTTCATCACCTCCAGCCCTCCGGTGAGTGAACGTCCCCCTTTCGCTGTAGCCTGTCCCCCTCCGTGGCCCCTGCACCCCAGCTGGAAAATGGGATGATCACCTCTTGTTGAATGAACCAGGGAGCCGGAGGCACCCGGAGCGGGTAAGCAGGAACATGGCGCGGAGGCTGAGGGCGCCCTCCGCGAAGGGGTCTCCTAGAAGGAAGGACGGAGCCTGGCCGGGGTCTCTCCGGCTCTGGCCCGGAATGGGGCCTGGACAGCATCCAGGGTCGGGGGACGCCGGGTTCCCACTCGCGGGGCTGCCAGGCAGGTCCGGCCCGCGGGAGCTAGAGGCGGAGGAGGGAGCCGCGAGCAGCGCCCGGGCCGCCAGGTCTCCACTGCCGCGGGCCCGTCCTGTCCCCCCAGTGCCTTGGCACGCACCTTGGCTCGCGCAGCTGGGTTTTCTCGGCCTCTGAAAGAGTCCAACGAGAGAAAGATGCTTTTCCGGCCGAAGCCCGAAGGACGGGCGGGAACAATGTCTGCCCTTTTACATTAGAGCAAACTCTTCAAAGGGACTCTATCTGAGCCAGGTGACCTGACAAGGCCATGCGCTCGCGGGGGCATCTGTCCCCAGAGACCGGTGACACAGCGGGGGCGACGAGGAAGACGTGATGGGTGAGGTGTCAGGGAAGATCCCTGGGGAGAGGACTCTCACACTCACACCTAAGNCCAACATTTTTTCTCCAAAGCAGAAGCTGTGTTAGAACCTCGTAAAGGAAGTCAAGTGGAGCAAGTGACCTAGAGAGAGGGGTAAAGGTGCTATGCATTCCCCGTTTCTCTGCCTTCCCACCCACCCTCCCCCCCCACCCCTTGGGGTGACTCCGCTTGGAAGCAGGTTTTCCCCAATGCTGGGTTGAGGAGCAAGGAGCGGGTGTCACTCCAGGATCCAGCTTTGCTAACTTGAATGAGAACGAATGTGGTGCCTCATTCTGTTTTCTCTGCCTGCGCTGTGAATCTTCCTGTTGGTGAAGTGTTGGAAACACAGTTAGGGTTGTTGTTCTGATAAACATTACTGTGGCTTTCAAGAACCGGAGAACTCTAAGGCTGCACAAAGGAAGAGGCTTCATTAACAGAGAGACTAACTAGGCTTTCTATTCCTGGCTGAGGTTTTTTCCCTCTTCAGCACCCTTCTCTCTCCACCACGCGTTATCTACAATGTAAATTTTACATCCTCTAGATATAGATCTCTAAGCAGTCTTGTGTGTTTCTTTGAGAGTCTTTTACATTATGGGCTAGATGAGGAATGAACTAAGCCAATTTCAGGAGGCCAAATTAAGAGAGTATTTACTTTTTTTAAAAAAACCTACTACTTGCTGGGTCATATCATCTCATTTAAGCTTCACAATAGCTGCTAATCAAATGTATCACAAAGTTCAGAAAACTGAAGTTATGTATCTCAAATCCAGAGCTTGGATTCAAATCCAAGTCTGAAGTCCAAGCTATTTTCATGCCCTCATTTTGGTATTGACTTTGGGCAGTGGTTACTGGAGACCATAGCAAGAATCTGTCAAAGGTAGAGGAACTGCTTTGCTTTTCACAGACACTACTCTCTCTTCCAACCCTTTCCTCTTTAATCTGTTCACCCACCCACTGTTACTAACTCCCACCATACCAACTGCTTTTGTGCATGCTGCTTGAGATACCACTGTTCACACACTTGAGCTTCAGGATAACAGAAACCCGATAGAGGAATAAAATGGCAGGCTTTCCTGAAGAACAGCAAGGCTTCAGGGAATCTGGAGGACTAGATCCCACTCATGCTTTCATATTTAGAATTACACCCTTGAGTTATAGGGCTGGCAAAAACCTTCAAGATCATTAAGCATCATTATTTTACAAAAAAAGATAATTTGGGAACCCAAAGATGCTTATTAGTCTAACTCACATGGCTGAAAAGTTGGGACTGGAATCCAGTTGACCTGACTCCGAGGCCAATGCCCTTTCCACTACTCCCATGGTGCCTCAAATATTCTTCCATGCCTTCTCTGATTATCTGTGACAAAAACATCAGCAGGACTGAACTATATTCAGTAATTTGTTGTTTTTGTTGTCATTTAGTCGCTAAGTCATGTCCAACTCTTTGCCACCCAATGAACGGTAGCTTACCAGGCTTCTCTGTCCATGGAATTTTCCAGGCAAGAATACTGGAGTNGGCTTCTCTGTCCATGGAATTTTCCAAGCAAGAATACTGGAGTGGGTTGCCATTTCCTTCTCCAGGGGATCCTCCCAATCCAGGGGCTGAACCAGCATTGCCTCTTTGGCAGGCATATTCTTTTACCACTGAGCCACCTGAGAGTCACAAACACTCAAAGCACAAGTAGTCCTCCTACCTAATTTTTCTTCCTGTTTTTCCCTCTCTGGTCTCACTATTCCAGTGTTGGCTGATGGAATATAACTGAGATAGCTGACCCACATTCCTCAATAACTGTTTTCCCTATAACAACAATTTGCAAATCGGGATGGTGATATGGCATTTCTTTACTTGCCTTTATGCTGTCTATATTTCCTCTTCTATGATCTATTCTCAACACAATAATTTTTCCAAAATCAATTAGCCTTAGCATCTTCCTGTATTCTCGCAGGTACATGGAAGAGGCCTCAAAAAGATTTAGGCAGAAATAAGTGATCATCCTAAGTCCTGATATTTATCAATGCTAGGCAGTATGCTAAGTCCTTTCATAAGTCATTGAATTTTCACAATTCTATCAAGTGGACAATTTCATTAGACATGGTCCTAGAGTTCTAGTCCACTCTAACATACAACAGACCCGATACTCTATTCATTTTTGCTTGCTTCTCTTCCAGCCCATAGTAAAATCTCACTTTCATTAATTAAATTTTTGTAGCCCTAGTAATCACACTGGCAAGATGAAACTTCTATATTGAATTAGACAGTTCTATCCTGCTCCAAAATGTAGAATTTAGAAACTCAAATTCAGTTTAAATGGCACTGTTCTGCTGTTTCATCTCTTAATATTTACCATAACATATTCTTCCCATTTGTTATCCTTTACTTAAAGATCCCGTTATGCCTTCCTAATGCTATTACTGACATTCTGCTTCAAACCTGCTCCAGAAGCAAGGCATAACTCATAATTAAATACACAACTTCTATTATATCATCACTGGGTGATTCTGCAAGGATGATGTTGCTGGATTACTTGGTCCCAGGTACCATAATCTTACACTGTCTAGAACCACTCTATCCAATATGGTAGTCACTAGCCATATATAGTTATTTACCATTTTAATTAGTTAAAATTTAAATGTTAAAAATTCAGCTCCTTAATCACACTAGGCATATTTCAGCTGCTTAATAAGACCATATGTGGCTACTGACTGCCTTATTGGACAATGCAGATATAAAAAATTTCCAGCATTGCAGAAAGCTCTATTGGACAACATTTCTTTAGGAAGTGCTAAAAACATCACAGCAACTGAGAACAGAAATTGGGAATAAGGACTTGGGGCTCTGCTTTGAAACTGTTTCCAAGAGAAGAGAAAAATCCACCTGTGCTGAGAACATCCCCCAAAGCCCAAAGATGCTCAAGACAATAAGGATAGGAAGGAAAAACATGTATCTCACTGAAGGAGCCGATGACTTCTGGAGTTTAATTTCACATAGATTCCTTTTTACCATAAAGTCAAATGTTCTATTTTACTGGTCTTACTGGTTTCCTGAGTTCCAACTTAGAAATAACATAGCAGTTCTTATTCAGAGTTCAAATTTACATATACTTTATATATAAATGTCTTTTATACACATATATATATTTATCTTAAGATAGATAAATAGATCTTAACAAAGGAATGGATGGTAACTTGAAAGATACTCTTTCAGAGAAAGAGCTGAGATACACTCTCAGCCTGATGTTGGTCAAGCATGCCATTCTCAGGCAATTGTTGCATATGGAATCTTACTACTAAAGGAAAACTTAGAGAAACTATCTACTCCGGTCTCCGGCAGATCATGCAGGCTTTAATAATAAATACCACTTTGGGGGGAGTCATGGTTTATTCATTTCATGGGAACTCTTTATCTCTTAGAGAGGCCTGGATTTTGGAAGAGAGAAATACATTACCTTGGAGCTGAAAAGAGTTTAATTTTCACTGTCTTCAGCTTGAGGGATTTAACTGATTTTGTATCTCAAGAAATAAATAGAACTGACAGTGTAGCTTGGAAACTCATGCTGGTAGCATACAATCATTCACTTAATCAATAAAGTAGTTGAGGAGTGTCATATATTTGCACAGAAATACTGTGGTCACAGGTGTTTGGAACTCCTATAGCCTAGCACATGGGTGCTCAATAAATATTTGCTGAATTCATACCATTGTTCCAGGTCACTTCATGCCACAAACTCATCTAGCCAAGAAATGAGTTCTCCCCGTGGCATTTTCCCTTATGAAATAAAACAGGAGACAGACACAGAACATCAAATCCTACCCTGATAACCACCCTCCTAACCCCTCTTGGGGCATAGGTAGTGATGGCCAAGACAGACTGCCGCTGAGAACTGGGTCTTGCTGTTCTCCTCCAGGGAACAGGGGACACATCAGTTCAAGAGTGTTTCATTTCATTATGATGAGGCAATTTCACAAACAATACTTAAATGGAACTGTATGATACTTTTCACTTTTACCTTAAAGAGACATTTCTTTCCTTAAGAAAGTATTTGATTGGCCTTCATGATTGTTGCAGGCAACTACTATTATTCCTAAGTTCAGAAGGAGCTTAGCTTAAAATGAAAACACATATAATAATTAGAGGAGAGCTGATGACATCACAATTTGATTGGTCGTATAGTATTATCCTTTTCCAGGAATAATTGGGCTTCCCTTTAAAAGTTTTAACTGGTGATTACTGACAAAATTGAAAGAAAAACATCTTTCCATTCTAGCAAGTCATTAAGCAAATGTCTGGAATTAGCAGATTCTCACTTGCCAAAGGCAAAATATTCCAACCCAATAAACTGTCCTACA